TGCAATATTTTGTTAAAGTTGTTAAGCTCAAATATTTAACGATGCGATAGGGAATTTCTACAGATACTGATATAGAACTGGCCTTGAGCTTATTCAATCATTAACTGAAGAAATGAGTCAGATCCATTAGAGAATCAAAATAGGAAAATCGTGAAATTTTCAGCGGTCTTTCTAGTTAAATTATTATTTTATTTCCTTTGATTTCTGGTGTGTACTCATTTCTTTCCGCGTCCCACCCAGAAACCTAAGGTCAGAAATAGCATCACGACATTTTCTACAGAGCAATTAAAAAAACAAAAGATAAAAAACAAAAAACAAAAAAACAAAACAAAACAAAAACATATTTTACATAGATAAAGCCCTTCGTAAGGTGTGGGTTGTAAACGTGAGAAGAATTTTTTGAATTTCTTTTTGGCCTGGGCTACCAGCAATCATTTCAATGAGTCTATTGGAGTCTTTTCAAATAAATCCGAGGGCTCCAACTACACCAAGAATTGTTGATGTTCTCATCTGCCACATTTCTGAGATTTCGATTTCATTATTATTATTATTATTATTATTATTATTATTAGTAGTAGTAGTAGTAGTTTTATTAAAATGTTTTTGGTGTGTACATTTCTTTCCGGGTCCCGCCAAGGATTATTTAAGATCGAAAAATCCATCATTTTTATACAGTAACCATTTAAAACACACACACACACACACACTGTAACACACACACATTACACACAGTGTTATTTTAAAATGAAAAAAAAAAAAAGAATTTTTTGGCCAAATTGAATAAAAAGTACTCGTGAGAACAACTTTTTGTATTTTTCAAGGCAAACACTGCCAGGAATCCCTCCAATTATATTTATATGGAATATATTTTCCAATCAATATAGGGCTCCAATTACAACTGGACACACACATGTTCCATATATATACATAAAAGATTTCCGATTTCGAGGTCCTTGTATTGTGATAGAATATAAGATCTTCAAAGATACATTGCAGTCTGCAGGGACTGCCATATCAATAAGGAGGCAATTTTGTTTGTTTGCAGTCTCTAATAACAATGTCTGGGCGGTTAGCTTTGATTGTTCTGTCTGTGTGTCTTGTGTAGTCCCATAAAATTGTTATAGGTCCTATCTCCGTAATCAAGTCTGGGTGGTGTTCATACTAATTACTTTCAGTTTCCTTCCCGTAGAGGTTGCAGGTTTTCCAGTGCAGATATAGGCCCACTCTATCATGCCGGGTTTTATATTCAGTGGATGCCAATATCGTGCAACCTTATACAAGACGGTCATTGGTTATAGATATTTATCACTTATTATTATTATACGTATGGACTTCGGATTAGATAAATGGATTATTTTAATAAATTATTATTATTATTATAAAGATTTTCATCACTATAAACGCTTTGTTGATCGCAGTTATGTGAAGTATTTGTGAGATAATGAAAAACTTTCGCAACCTTAAAAACATTTACCTTTTTTCTTGGATGTAAATGGGGATCGGTGGCTTTGCTTTTTCGGCAAAGAAAAGGAAATCAAAAGACCGTAAAAGTATATTGCAAACACACAGACACAAAGTAGGTGATTGTGATTGCATGTTGGCTAGTGGTTGGCAACTACTGCTGGTAATATCATTACTACAATTCCTGCTGATGAGGATAGGGTCATGATTTTGTTGCTGCTATTTTTTTTGAAAATTAAAAAAGAGAAAATATAAAAAAATTGTGGAAAATTATCAGAAAAATAATTTTTGTTCGACGTATATATTGGAAGAAAATTTCTAAGAAAAAAAAAGTCATTCTCATACAACAACACATTCAGCATACGTCCCTCATATAGTGGCGCCACGTATTGTTTACATTAATCAGTCGTCCGATTTTGCTTGTATATGGCAATGACACACTAGTTAAGAGCAGAAAGACTCCCGCCGCTGCTAGTAAAAAGAGATGTTAAAGCTTGTGGCTCGGCTCCAGGAAGGTTTATAGTCTTGGTAATTGATGTAATGTTATAACTTGTCACCCTCATGAGTGACTACACTGTAGATAGTAACTACTTATAAGTATCCGTAAGGCAACGGACTAGTAAAAAGAGCATGTTAAAGCTTGTGGCTCGGCTCCAGGAAGGTTTATAGTCTTGGTAATTGATGTAATGTCATAACCTGTCACCCTCATGAGTGACTACACTGTAGGTAGTAACTACCTATAAGTATCCGTAAGGCAACGGACTACAGGAGACTATCTGGAATCATTTCCGTCGGAGGCAGAGAGGAACCCGGACGAGGCTATGCCGAAGTGCAGAGTCTCGTTAAAAAATATTATTGACGTAATTTTATAAGGGAATAGGAATTTGTCCAAGCCTACGTACTCAGGATTGACCCACATTAAACTCGGCCTTGTGCCGCATCCCAATGTTGGGAGGCTGGTAAATATGGGACAAAGATGGGATCTGTTACTCAGCTCTCAGCTGTTGTCGAACCCTCTGCCTTCGAACAGAGTGGAACTTGGACGAGGCTATGCCGAAGGGCAGAGTCTCATCCGTGGAGGTAGACAGACCCGAACCCGTTTATGCGTGTTATACGGGGAGCTTTTGGGCGAGCCCACGGGCTCGGATTGCCCCACATCAAATTCGGTCTAGTGCCACATCCTACCTCGTGGGGAGGCTGGTAAATATCAACTTGCTGGGATCAGTTGAGTACAACTCAGACTTACGCGAGGACTATCGACCTTTCAATAGCTGCACTCACTACTGAATTGACTTTCGACAATCGGGCGCATAACTATTGCCTTATTTCTTATTGTACTGTTTTTTTTACAATAAATATACGTATTTTGACCACCGTGTTTTTCAAGTATATATTCCTATTAGCACGGAATATAACAGAAATATTTGTAAGTACTGAGGTTGCATCATATAAAAAACTGAATTAGATAGCTAACATTATAGAGTAATGACTCAAAATACAAATTCACGTCCTTGTCAGTCAAGTCAATCAGGTGACCATCGAACCTTACTTGAGCCGGGACATTGCCTTACATTCGTCCTGGAAGACGCACACGTATTTTTCTTGGTATTTACTTGTAAGCCGGAAAATACGGTATATGTCTATATATGTGCAGAAGAAATCTACTTAACTTCAAAAAGGCCAAGCGTGTGAAACTGGCAAAGTCATTGGCTTCGTGATATAAAGAAAAAACCGGGACAGAACTCATTCCGTTGTTTATAACAGAAAAATGGTTGGTGGGATAGCCCGGATGGGCTACCTATGTTGTTGATGGAATAACCCGGATGTGAAGGCTACAGATTATTGTACCGACCTTTGAACGCATATAAGGTCAGTGAAGAAGAGGAGAGGAAGCCGATGATGAGGATTTGTGGCTATTTGAACTTACGATAGTCTGGTTGCCAACCAAGGTTATGGGACCCATGGATCAGTCAGCTAAGTGCCATATGTGATGCACACTTGGGCCATCATGTCTCTTTCGAAACAACGACTGACCTTTCAGATTTTCCCGCAGTAGGTAGCCATTTCTTTCTGCGATAGTCTTTAAAACCGTTTATAGGGTCCATGGATCAGTCAGCTAAGTGCCATATGTGGTGCACACTTGGGTCATCATGTCTCTTTCGATTCACGACTGACGAAGCAGATTTTCCCGCTGTAGGTAGCCATTTCTTTCTGCGATAATCTGGTTGCCAACCAAGGCTTATAGGGCCCATGGAACAGTCAGACAGACTAAAACAACGCATAACTTGCCTCAGTCAGTTAAGTGCCATACGTGATACACACTTGAGCGATCATGTCTCTTTCTATTCATCACTGGCTAGGTAGAAGATTTTCCCACTGCAGGTGGCCATTTCTTTTTGCGATAGACTGGTTGCCAACCAAGGCAATATGACGCCTGGATCAATCAGTCAGTTAAGTGCCATACATGATACATTCTTGGGCGATCATGTCACTTCTCGATTCATGACCGACTAGGCAGATTTTTTTTGCGATAGACTTTTTGCCAACCAAGGCAATATGACCCCTGGATCAATCAGTCAGTTCAGTGCCGCCATGATAAAAAGCAGGCGATTATCTCTTTTGATTCATGATAACTAGGCAGAAGATTTACCCGCAGTAGGTTGCTATTTATTTCTGCAGTAGACTGGTTACCAATTAAGGCTTAAAAACAGTCTGTTCTGTTACTTAACCCATAGCTAGGAGGAGAAAAAGTAATTGAAGGCAAATGAGACAGACTAAAACAACACATAACCTACCTCAGCCATTTATGTGCCATACGTGATACACTCTTGGGTGTTCATGTCTCTTTCGAGACATGACTGACGAGGCAAAGGATATTACCCGCAGTAGCTCACCGTTCCATTATGCGATAGTCTGGTTGCCAATCAAGGCTATAGCATCCAGGGATCAGTCAGTCAGCTAAATGCCATACGTAATACTCTTTTGGCCGATCATGTCTCTTTCGATTCATGACCGATGAGAGAGACTTTCCAGCAGTAGGCTGACGTTTCTTTCTGCGATAATCTGGTTGCCAACCAAGGCTATAGGACCCATGGATCAGTCAGTCAGTTAAATGCCATACGTGATATACTCTTGGGCGATCATGTCTCTTTCGCTTCATGAATGACTAGGTAGAATATATTACCCGCAGTAGGGCGCCGTTCTATTCTGCGATAGTCTGCTTACAAGGCACCTTCTGGGTACCACTGGTCTAAGACGATGTTACCGTCCCTACTGCATTATCTTTCTCAGACCAACAGTCGCCGTCGTGGACTGGGTGGTGCATAAAATGAAAATACTTTGCAATAAAATCTTTTTACATCATACCTAACTCCAGTTTCATATGTGATTTGCACATATTCCAACAGGATGTTCTTCACACTATTACAGATCCACCATTAGCTTGCAAACGTACTGCCTATAAGATATGTCTTAGCCTCACCTGGGATCCTCTTCACTCGGAACATATCTCTTCCGTAGTGCAAAATTTCCTCTGGTTTATGATACTGGCAACGCCTGGGTTTGTCCAAGTACCTCAAAATTTCCTCAAACAGTTTCTAAATGATTGTCTTGCTATCCTCTTCCGCCTCACCTGTATCCTCTTTCACCTGCTATCCTCTTCACCTTCCTCTTTGTCCTCTTCCGCCTCACCTCTATCCTCTTCCGCCTCCGCTATCCTCTTCCGCCTCACCTGCTATCCTCTTCCGCCTCACCAGCTATCCTCTTCCGCCTCACCTGCTATCCTCTTCCGCCTCACCAGCTATCCTCTTCCTCTTCCTCTTCCGCCTCACCTGCTATCCTCTTCCGCCTCACCTGCTATCCTCTTCCCGCCTCTATCCTCTTCCGCCTCACCTTATCCTCTTCCGCCTCACCTGCTATCCTCTTCCGCCTCTCACCTGCTATCCTCTTCCGCCTCACCTGCTATCCTCTTCCTGCCTTTCTCTTCCTCTTCACCTACTATCCTCTCTTCCGCCTCACCCGGCTATCCTCTTCCGCCTCACCTGCTATCCTCTTCTGCCTCACCTGCTATCCTCTTCCGCCTCACCTGCTATCCTCTTCCGCCTTACCGCTATCCTCTTCTGCCTCACCTGCTATCCTCTTCCTTCCTTCACCTGCTATCCTCTTCCGCCTCACCTGCTATCCTCTTCCGCCTCACCTGCTACCTCACCTGCTATCCTCTTCCGCCTCACCTGCTATCCTCTTCCGCCTCACCTGCTATCCCTCTTCCGCCTCACCTGATATCCTCTTCCGCCTAACCTCTTAAAATCCTCTTCCGCCTCACCTTTTATCCTCTTGCCTCCCTGCTATCCTGCCTCACCTGCTATCCTCTTCCGCTATCCTCTTCCGCCTCACCTGCTATCCTCTTCCCCCTCACCTGCTATCCTCTTCCGCCTCACCTGCTATCCTCTTCCGCCTCACCTGCCATCCTGCCTCACCTGCTCTTCTCTTCACCTGCTATCCTCTTCCGCCTCACCTGCTATCCTCTTCCGCCTTGCTATCCTCTTCGGCCTCTCACTGCTATCCTCTTCTGCCTAACCTGATATCCTTTTTCCGCTATCCTCTTCCGCCTCACCTGCTATCCTCTTCCGCCCCTCATCTACTATCCTCTTCCGCCTCACCTGCTATCCTCTTCCTATCCTTTCTGCTTACCTCTACCTCACCTGCTATCCTCTTCCGCCTCTATCCTCTTCCGCCCTCTTCCGCCTCCCGCTATCCTCTTCGGCCTCACCTGCTATCCTCTTCCGCCTCACCTGCTATCCCTTCCGCCGCTATCCTCTTCCTCCACCCACCTATCCTCTTCCGCCTTATCCTCTTCCGCTATCCTCTTCCGCCTCACCTGCTATCCTTTTCCACCTCACCTGATATCCTTTTCCACCTTTTAACCTAACCTGCTATCCTTTTCTGCCTCACCTGTTGTTCCCGTCTCACCTTTATTCTGTCCTGCTATCCTCTTCCCCCCTCACCTGATATCCTCTTCCTCCTCTCCCCCACCTGCTATTCTCTTCCTATATCCTTTTCCTCCTCACCTTCCCCCCTCATCTGCTATCCTCTTCCTCACCTGCTATCCTTTTCTGCCCCATCACCTCCCTATTCTCTTCGCTTTTTTTCCCCCTCACCTACTATTCTCTCACCCTACTATCCTCTTTAACCTGATATCCTTTTCCGCCCTCATCCTGCTATCCTCTTCCTTCCCCTCATCTGCTATCCTCTTCCGCCTCACCACCTTCCGCCCTAACCTGCTATCCTTTCCCTCACTGTTATTCTGTCCCCTATCTACAATATCCTCTTCCCCTCACCTGCTATCCTCTTCCCCTAAAATCCATCTGCTCTCCTCTTCCCCCTCACCTACTATTCTCTTCTGATGTCCTGATATCCTTTTCCGCCTCACCTGCTATCCCCTTCCGCCTCACCTGCTACCTATCAGGCTATCCTTTCTTTTCACCGCTATCCCCTTTCGCCTCACCTGCTATCCTCTTTCACCGCACCTATGAGGTTTGTTTAACGCTATATTATTCCTTATGGGTCATTTAATGTCGAAATTTCATTTTCTTATTAGCTTTATTATTTAAAAAAAATGTATTGCCTGTATTTTTTTCTATGAGAATATATGGCGGTTAATTTTTTTCAAAGTATTTTTATATTTTGACCCTAAATTGGGAGTTCATTATTTGCCCATAGCTATGTCCCTAATAGGTGCTACCGCCCTTTGTCTGGATAGACCCGAGAACAAAAGCAATTAACAGGTGGTTCCACGTTCTTCAAAATCTCCCGGTCACAGGCCTTGCTGCCCGATGTAGTTTATCGTCATACCCAGGACAATTAAGGTTTTGTTCAGTATATTTTTTTAAAGAAAAATAAAAGGATTAATTTTTACTTGTTAGGTGACTACTTTTCGTTGGGTCTTATATGATATTAGAGAGTAGAGTTGATGCAGTCTAGGCAGGTAAATATTTATATATAAAAGTATTTACATTTTTCTCACGGCTTACCATTACCTTTTATTAATTAACTTCTTGGGGGAAAAAAAAAGAAAAAGAAAAAAAATCAACGTTAGCCTCTGTTACTGACTTTACTGATTCAATAAAGTAACTAGAAGACCTGGCAGTCATTTTATAATAATAAAATAATCTTCCTCCGATAAAGGGACCTCAGCTTTTTCAAAGTTAAACATTAAAAAAACAAAAAATATAATTAAAATGTTTCAGTTATTATATTGTGATATTTATAATCGTTATTGCAATATTTTGTTAAAGTTGTTAAGCTCAAATATTTAATAATGTGATAGGGGAATTTCTATAGATATTTTATCATAGAACTTGCCACGAACCTATTCGAAACATAACTTAACAATGAAGATTCATTAGAAAACTCAAATAGGAAAACAATGAAATTTTCATGGGTATTGTCGTAAACTATAATTTGGGAAAGTGGAAAATTCAATGAAATATGTTGGAAAATTTATGTGAAATCAAGAAGATATGACCTTCAAGTATAATGGCCAAAATACATGGAAAAAAGGCATCAGCTTAAACTGACACTAGGAGGGTATGGAGCAAGTGCAGATCCAAGTTTTAAAATATTTCATACTCATTTAAAATTAAAAACATTTTAGCACCTTTTTTGTATATATTACACTAGCAGTAGAGCCCGGCGTTGCCCGGGGATGTAACAGTAAGAGATAGATCAAGTATCGACCATCATAAAAACTGAAAAATAAAATTGACAAAGATTATTGTTTAAGGTTGACAGACACGCATGTCTTAATTAATTTTTTTTTTTTTTTTTTTTTTTACGAATTGGTCAAACCCAAACTTAAACAAAAACATTGTTTTCAATCGTTATGAGTCTATCAATTGAATAGAATTTTATTATAAACAATTGTCTTTTAAATGGAATTTTTAAAGCATTCTGGATGTAAAAATAAAGAAAAAAGTGTGCAAGACAATAAGAAACACTACCTGCCAAAAGAAAAAGTGAAGTTTTGTTGAAATCGGTTGAAAAATATAGGAAATCTGATCCCATATATAAGCGAACACACACACACACACACACACACACACACACACACACACACACACACACACACACAACCTGGGTTTTATAAGTATAACTCGATATGAGTTGTCTCCCTTTCGTTCTGGTGACAGAATTGTGTTTTATCGTGTTTTCAAATTGATGTCATGCAAAAACAATTGTGTTTTTTCCAATTTTTGGTGCTGCCAGAACCACCACAAGGTAATTTTATGCAGTCTTGTGAAGTTTTGTTAAAATCAGTTGAAAAATGTAGGAAATCCGATCCAATATATAAACACACACACACACACACACACACACACACACACACACACACAATCTGCGTTTTAAAATAAGTAAGATTTATTAGATATTCTTTTGTACAGGAAAATCAATTTGCATAAAAAAATTGTTTTGAATACAATAAAGACATTTTATTTATTTGTTTCTTTTTTTAAAACAAGAAAATCTAGAGTTAAGTGCTACATTAAAAAATAAATATACTTAAAATTTTAGTTATTATAGACTGTGTGGTAGTAAAGGAGAAGAAAAATAAAAAATTCAAAGCTGTTCAAGATTATAAATAAATTCTAAAAGACTTTAGAAATAAAAATATTTTTTTCCTTCAGTATTGTAAGCTAAAAAATGCTGTAGAAAATTTAACCCTGGCAAATTAAATCTCAAGTTTATTTAAATCAGTGCTTCTCAATGGGAGTGGGGGGTCCATATGGATTCTGGGGGTCCAAACAAAAAAAAAAAATAAAGCAAATTGGAGATCCACGGTAATATTTTAGTGGTCCATAGAGCAACAGTTGTTCCAATTGAGAATTATAATTTCTAGAATATTCTACACCGTATTAAAATACTAAAAATTGAAAAACAGACTTGGAGAAAATGAGATCATTGCAATGTAAGTTAGTGTTGTTTTTTACTCTACCAGATGTTTTGACTGTAAAAGTTGAATAAAAAAAAAATTGGAAGTCTATATAAGGAAGAAAATTTTTTTATATATATATATATATATATATATATATATATATATATATATATATATATATATATATATAAATTAAATAAAGATTATAATTTATTATATAAATTAATTTAATATATTAATAATAAAACAATAATATTAATTTCAAACATTAATAAAATAAAATATTAATATATTAATATAAAATTAATTACATTGACATTGATGGAGCTGAATATAAAAAAAAAGAAGCTGTTGAAGATTCTATATAAATTCTAAGAGTTTATAAATAAAAATATTTTTCGTTCAGTGTTGTAAGGTAAAAAAAATTTTCGGCTATATGTTAGAGGTGAGATATTTCTTTAGAGAAACCTTCGGCTCTATGATGGAGATGAAACATTCATTTTCAGACGTCCACGTCCATATAGTGGAGGTGAGACATTTATTTTTAGAAATCATTGGCTATATGAGGGAGAGGAGACATTCATTTTCAGAAATCCTCGGCTATATGATGGAGGTGAGAAATTTCTTTTCAGAAACCTTCGGCTCTATGATGGAGATGAAACATTCATTTTCAGATGTCTACGTCCATATAGTGGAGTTGAGACATTTATTTTCAGAAATCATTGACTATATGATGGAGGTGAGACATTTCTTTTCAGAAATTATCCTTCTGTAGAATCAGACTTCAAATAAATGATATATAATTTTCCGTTATATATATATATATATATATATATATATATATATATATAATAAATATATAATCCTTCCTTTTATATATCCTCCTCAGTTTTTGTTCAACTTTTTACAATCAAATCATCTGGTAGAGTAAAAGGGAGTTAATCGATATATCGTTTTTTCTAGTTTTATAGTTGTTTTTCTATTTTTAGTATTTTAATATGGCGTAGATTACTGTAGAAATTCCAATTCAGAGTTTTTTTTTTGGGGGGACCGGTCCGAAGTGAAAGAAAAATTGATATTACCGTGGACCTCCAATTTACTATTTTTGTGCTGACCCTAGTAATGGTATGGACCCCGGTTAAGAACCACTAGTTTAGAGCTACAAAGAGCGGGAAGTTGTGGAGAGTCATGATCGCCCATGTCATGTAGGGACACAGTACATAAAGGGAGTAGATTAAAATATATAATAAACATTTCGTATAAAAAATAAACTTAGTATGGTACTAATAATACTATTAGTCTAATACTAAAATTTTATGGTACTAAAAAAAGCATAAAGTTTGTGGTACTAAAAAAAGTATAAAG